GCTGCTCCCCTTTGGCCTTCCTGGCATGGTTGCACCTTGTGGAACGAAGTTCCAGCCAGTGTAGCCCGCGGGATCATTGCAGCACTGAAGCCCGACCACCACGTCATGGTGGCAGCTTTAGGTCGGGACCCCTCTAGTGGTCATCAGCTGATTATGGTCAGTAAGAACTTTCAGCACAAACTTTCGCATCGCGTAATACGGCTGCTACCAACTGCAAATCAACCGAATCACGTGGCCATAAGCCACCGGTGGAGGGCCATATTTCAAGACTGCCGTTTCTTTTGGGTCACACAACTGAATTCCGACCACGCCATGGTGCAAGCACGCCTGACTGTTCGCTTTTCTTCAGGCCCTCGCAAGTCAACAAGAAGCATGTCAATCCGTCATCTTTGAAGAACTACCGCAGTTCCGCATTATCGATCTGAGCTAGTTCATTAAACTGATGCAGTAAACCATCCCTGTACTGGTGTAACGGTGATACTACTGATCGGGAGGCACGCGAGTAGTATGTATTGTTCGTAGAATTTCGATTTGCGTCGACTGAAAAAGGGGATTCTGTTGCGGAATTCGTGGGGCCACTTTGTAACATTTGCTTGGATTTGACCGACGAATGAGTGGAGGCAACGAATCTCTAGGAAGACTCATTCGGGAGGCCGAATCACGCATAAGCCACCGGTGGAGGGCCATATTTCAAGACTGCCGTTTCTTTTGGGTCACACAACTGAATTCCGACCACGCCATGGTGCAAGCACGCCTGACTGTTCGCTTTTCTTCAGGCCCTCGCAAGTCAACAAGAAGCATGTCAATCCGTCATCTTTGAAGAACTACCGCAGTTCCGCATTATCGATCTGAGCTAGTTCATTAAACTGATGCAGTAAACCATCCCTGTACTGGTGTAACGGTGATACTACTGATCGGGAGGCACGCGAGTAGTATGTATTGTTCGTAGAATTTCGATTTGCGTCGACTGAAAAAGGGGATTCTGTTGCGGAATTCGTGGGGCCACTTTGTAACATTTGCTTGGATTTGACCGACGAATGAGTGGAGGCAACGAATCTCTAGGAAGACTCATTCGGGAGGAGATTTGTGTCCAGTTTTTGTAACTAAGATGCAGATTAGAGTTTTGCTTCCCCGTTCAATGGTCTGTAACCGGTCAGTTGGCATTTCCGAATAAACAACTCCGCAGCGAACGACTTCTTCCTTTCACTGGTAGCGAGCGGTTGATGAAGCATCGCAAAGTGTGAGAGAGCTATGCTAGTGGCGGTTAGTACTGTCTGTCCAACTTCTCCGCCCTTATCCCAAGTAGGGTCTACAAGGACTGCCCAGTGCACCCTTTACCCCCATAAATAATACCCTCAAGATCTGTCGACGCTTGGAGGCAGGTCACATTTTTGAGCTTGATAATTGGTTTACAATGGCTTTGTAACCGCACAAGAAGACAGCTGTGTACGGTTGGCTGGGTTTAGAAATAGTTTCTCTGTTACTTCACCCTGTAGTAATGATTAACTACTTCCCCTCGAGACCTAGAATATGCAGGCAACATTTTAGATTTTATAATTGTAACGAAAGGCGCAAGATCTACTGGATAGGCTTATGACTTCCATCTTTACCTTCGATTTGAGCTTTTACCCTAAAACATGCAGTGGTTGTGGATTGGTCAACCAACGTAAGTATTATTTCTGTCATTTGGCAGCATCGAATTATTCGAGAATCTCCTATCCTATATGTAGGATAATCATTCAGCTGTAACATTCTTTCGGTGCCTAGCTGCCATGCCACTCGAACGAAGCACGAAGGCTGGGATACTGCCACCTTATCCAAACCTAGACGGGGGAAGTCAGGAGGCAGAGGTCGGGTCGGAAGTTGCATAAGTATTGTTGATCTCAGAGTTGAGATGATCAGTTGCGCAGCCAGAGCCAAGGCGAAGTTTCCTAGTCTTCGCCATGTATGACATCAAAGAGAGATCAATGTGCCATTGATAGAACATGCTTGCAGTGCCTCCATACGGGTGCGCAAATTGGACTGTATCGGTCGAAGTGTTTTCGATGATCGATACTTTCGAAGCATCAGTCATGTATGGTGGAAGCAATGCGTAACCAATAAACGAATAATCGTAGGGTGTTCGGTCAGTGTTACCTAAGCTACCCGTAAGTGCAGTTCTATTGGGGCACCAACTGGAATACCTGAGCGGTTTAATAATGAAGACCAGATATCAGTCACTTTGATTGGTTTCATTAGTGAACAGGATCGCTTTGGAATGGATTGACACGGAGTAAAAGAATAGAGATACCGATGACCAAACCAGCCTCTGTTTGGTTCTCACGACGATCGCACCTGACTAAGAGCGCCCTTTGGAATGTCACAGAACGGGAACCGGTGATGATCATATTGTGACCTGTTCGGTCAACGTTACTATCCACAACCTGCGCATTATTTTTAACTTTTTTTCACGCATCGTGGTTCACAGATCTCGCATGTCGTACAATGATCATATACCTGTTCGGTCAACGTTACTATCCACAACCTGCGCATTATTTTTAACTTTTTTTCACGCATCGTGGTTCACAGATCTCGCTCGCACTACTGATGGGGAGGCACGCGAGTTGTATGTATTGTTCGTAGAATTTCGATTTGCGTCGACTGAAAAAGGGGATTCTGTTGCGGAATTCGTGGGGCCACTTTGTAACATTTGCTTGGATTTGACCGACGAATGAGTGGAGGCAACGAATCTCTAGGAAGACTCATTCGGGAGGAGATTTGTGTCCAGTTTTTGTAACTAAGATGCAGATTAGAGTTTTGCTTCCCCGTTCAATGGTCTGTAACCGGTCAGTTGGCATTTCCGAATAAACAACTCCGCAGCGAACGACTTCTTCCTTTCACTGGTAGCGAGCGGTTGATGAAGCATCGCAAAGTGTGAGAGAGCTATGCTAGTGGCGGTTAGTACTGTCTGTCCAACTTCTCCGCCCTTATCCCAAGTAGGGTCTACAAGGACTGCCCAGTGCACCCTTTACCCCCATAAATAATACCCTCAAGATCTGTCGACGCTTGGAGGCAGGTCACATTTTTGAGCTTGATAATTGGTTTACAATGGCTTTGTAACCGCACAAGAAGACAGCTGTGTACGGTTGGCTGGGTTTAGAAATAGTTTCTCTGTTACTTCACCCTGTAGTAATGATTAACTACTTCCCCTCGAGACCTAGAATATGCAGGCAACATTTTAGATTTTATAATTGTAACGAAAGGCGCAAGATCTACTGGATAGGCTTATGACTTCCATCTTTACCTTCGATTTGAGCTTTTACCCTAAAACATGCAGTGGTTGTGGATTGGTCAACCAACGTAAGTATTATTTCTGTCATTTGGCAGCATCGAATTATTCGAGAATCTCCTATATGTAGGATAATCATTCAGCTGTAACATTCTTTCGGTGCCTAGCTGCCATGCCACTCGAACGAAGCACGAAGGCTGGGATACTGCCACCTTATCCAAACCTAGACGGGGGAAGTCAGGAGGCAGAGGTCGGGTCGGAAGTTGCATAAGTATTGTTGATCTCAGAGTTGAGATGATCAGTTGCGCAGCCAGAGCCAAGGCGAAGTTTCCTAGTCTTCGCCATGTATGACATCAAAGAGAGATCAATGTGCCATTGATAGAACATGCTTGCAGTGCCTCCATACGGGTGCGCAAATTGGACTGTATCGGTCGAAGTGTTTTCGATGATCGATACTTTCGAAGCATCAGTCATGTATGGTGGAAGCAATGCGTAACCAATAAACGAATAATCGTAGGGTGTTCGGTCAGTGTTACCTAAGCTACCCGTAAGTGCAGTTCTATTGGGGCACCAACTGGAATACCTGAGCGGTTTAATAATGAAGACCAGATATCAGTCACTTTGATTGGTTTCATTAGTGAACAGGATCGCTTTGGAATGGATTGACACGGAGTAAAAGAATAGAGATACCGATGACCAAACCAGCCTCTGTTTGGTTCTCACGACGATCGCACCTGACTAAGAGCGCCCTTTGGAATGTCACAGAACGGGAACCGGTGATGATCATATTGTGACCTGTTCGGTCAACGTTACTATCCACAACCTGCGCATTATTTTTAACTTTTTTTCACGCATCGTGGTTCACAGATCTCGCATGTCGTACCAGGCTTACGAGTTATGTATTATATATATATATATATATATATATATATATGCAAGTGAAATAAAGCGTGGGGACGGAGTTAGTCTGAATTTACCTGAAATTAAACAGGTTAATTCGAACTACAGACCTTTCTGTATAGAGCTCCTGTCCGAACTCCTGATCTACTCGGAGCTTACCATATGTGGAGTGGCTGTGATGAGATTGTATACCATAAATCCTTTGTTCGATGAATTAAGGTCTGCTAACCAGCGGGTTTGAAGTTTAGAGCCTGGCAACTAATGTGGACGCAAACCGGATAGTTTGTTATGAAGGAAACCAGGTATCCCCTCAAAGCACCTTCTCAGTTTCGATTGGATACTTCTAGACACCTGACTGCAGCGCATGGTATACTTATTAGCTTAACGGTAAAGTAGAAATACAGGGCGCACATGATCGAGCAGTCAATCACTGCTGTACGGCCTCAAGGGCATTCAAGCTTCTCCACCGGTTTAGCGTGTTTTGGTAAATGTGGCTCGCCTGCTCTGGCTGATGTCGTAGCCGTAGCTGGAAATCATGACGCACTGAGCTTGGTGTCTGTGAATATAAATTAATGCTCGTTCATTTAGTATAATCATGCCACCAGTATTTCTCGCATCCAATATTTCGAGGAAAACCAGGAAACCGATAGGAAAAAAAGGAAGAGACAAGCAGGTTGGAACCTCTCGACTGCACCAGCGTTAAAGATTTACTCACTGAATATTGCTGTCGATCGGTTGTTGGAGACTGTGAGACTTCAATATGCCATTCTCGCAGGAGACCACAGCTGAGTAACTAGCTAACGGTGGCCTTGTGGTCGATTTCAGACAAAGTGATAATGTTGATCGATTGGCCTCCGTATGACATCACCCGGAAATGCTTAGAACTAGTTAAAACATAGATGAGACGAACTGCTAACCTCAATCGGCTAGTTCTACCAAGTGTCACAGGTGCATCCATTGTGTGAGCTTGAGCCCAGTGATCGGAATGCCCCTGGTTCGAACCGAACTTCTTCATCTCGACCGCTCGTCTCTGGGTTTAGCATTATCTCAGCCGTCGTGCTTCCTACTGATGGCGTGGCAGGTATACTTCGAACGGGTATTACAACTGAACGATTGTTATATATTATCATATCATGTAATCAAACCTGTGCACGTTGTTCAACAGATTCTCCGAGAGCTATCACTGTGGCGGCCCGATTACGTCCTTTTACCCCGAGGTAAGCAGAGTCAGTCAGGTTGTTACGTTTACACCTCAGAGAACTTGAACTACAGGACGAGGTTTCCATCATACAAATGCCGAAACCTGGTGTCGTTCTACTCCTCTGTAAACGACAACCCGATGTTTATGCCCGTCAGTTTATATTCGACCATACCTTTTGGTCATTTGATGAAAGAACTTCCAGTCTGGACGATTCTTCAACTTTTTTCAAACCCGACTCACCCCCATTCGCTGATCAAGCCACGGTTTACCGAACCCTAGCATTTCCATTGCTGCAACGGTCACTTGAAGGTTACAATACTTGTCTGTTTGCTTACGGTGTGACTTCCTCCGGAAAAACTTACAGGTATGTTTGCATCACATTGGTTAGTCTCACCTTATCATATCTGATATCCCGAAAATATTTAGCTCCGCCGGATTGTTTATTGTTTGGTGCCTACATTTTTACATCTCTAACTTTCTTCCGAACGCAGGAACGTTTGAACCGGCGTTATTCAGCTTTTTTATTCCAAACTTAACGTGGAGTTTTAGTTTCAGAGCATCTGATCGTTGTTTCTGCATCCGTAAGCCTGTACAGACGCAGTAGTAGAAGCGAGATGGGCCAAGTGGTTAGACCACGAATTTACTGACCGGAAGGTCCGTGTTTCGAACGCGACCTCTCTCTCTCGACTTCCCCTGACTAGACTTGGGCAACCTAGCAGTATCCCAGCCCTCGTGCTCCTCTTCGTGTACATGGCAGCTAGGCATCGGAAGGTGTTACAGCTGAACGATTTTCTTTTAGTAGAAGCGTCTCGTCGGTAGTCCATTGAGTTCCCAAATCAGGATAAGATCAAGGCCTTCATGTGGTCATTGTATTATAGTTACTGATTGTCACCCGCTGTGAGTTTACCCAGCTACCGTTTTCCTACTATGGTCATGCAAGTGGGAAAACGAGTTTCAAAACTGTATAGATATGACAGGCACCCACAAACCTTAATTTAATCCCGCTAGATGAGCGTTTACCGAAAGTTCCTCGTTTTGTGCATAAGACCCACAAACAATGGCTACGGCTGTCAGATACAACCAAACCATCTCCGCCCCATTCCCTGCGTCACCACCCTGTGGAGCTGATGTGATCGTTACTGTACAGCAATTTTTTGTGGGGGTATGTTCCGAATTTCCACTGCGCTTGCAGCACGAGAATTAGTGTACAAGCGTTATGCGGCTTTTGTTGGAGGATGACTCTCTAACGTTTGCGCAACTGTGTGTCAACTGCGAGGCAGCGGGAAGGGTAGGATGAGCAAAGCCGCCGAAATAGCCAATGCATTTTAAATTGATCTTTGCTATAGAAGAGAATTTTGGTAGCTCGGGTAGCATAGATGGTTGTTGATTTGTTCGCTAAGCCGGGCAATTTGATTGCAAACGTTTCATCACCAATCGAGTTGGCACCATCGTGCGCTGTCAGGGACCATGGTGGATCCTAGCGTGGGGCTGGTGATTGTGCGTTGAGCAGTGTTGTTGTTAATATACATGCTGCTAGCCGGGGTTGACCTCCAATCACGATTGGTTGTTCGGTCGGTCGGTTCCATTGGTTGTTCTGATATCCTGCGTCCTGATTGATCGATGGCCACGTGAATAGTGAGCCTAGCCTCTCCTGCCCTGGTGCTCTGATCCAAGCTGTAGTGACCTCTGTCGTTGACTTCTCTGGGTTCCGGCTTGTGACCTCTTTTGATCCGATTCCAAGCAGTTCCTTTCTTCTTGGTTTGTGAATCCGATATTTGGCTCTCCTTGAGTATTCCGCTGGAGGAGTTGTTCCTTTGCACGTAGTGGTGAGTAAATTGGGTCCAGTTCAATGCATCGGTTGATCGAATCAGCCGTAGAGTACCATGCCTCCAGAAATTCCCTTCCGTGCCTTGTGTTCCCATATGCCAAGATTTTCACGTTTTCCATATTGAATTTGTCGCCTTCTTGGTCTTCGTGTATGAATATCAAGAATAAGAGATTATGTCTCCTGACGGCTGCGTTGTGTTTCCTTATTCGTATGCATAATTTCCTCCCAGTTTGTCCAACGTAGAACTTGTTGCAGTTGATTCGGTATACCACATTGTTCTTCTTGGTTTTGTCTGGAGATCAGTCTCCTCAACGTCGCATTCGGTTTGTGGGCCACGACGATTCCTTTCTGGGCCAACAATCTGGTTTTGCGTTCATATATATTCTGGACAACAACAATGCTGGCCGTTTTTAACACAGACTACGGAACGTCAGTATAGAAGACGACGAAATCATGCTTTATTTTGATGTCACACCTCTATTCACTTCAATCAACCACAACCTCGCCAGGGAGACGGTAGTAGAACTGCTTCAGAATAATCGGAACACGACATGAAATCCAAAAGTATTTGCAAGCTGTTGAACTTTTGCATGGATACATACTTTAGCTTTGATGGGCAAATTTCTCTCTTCTGTGGTGCTGCGGTGTCTCCGCTCTATTGAACAAGGTTAGACCGCAACCCTCGGATGATTACTCTTGTAGTTGAGTATTTGATCCGTGTGTGTCTCTTTCCGGTATACGCAGGTTTCCATAGTCCCATCCACCTTCCTGCTGACTAAAACTTCAGAGAATTCGTTCTTCTCCAGTTTGATTGTAAACTTGATATCTTCAAACGTGGCATCCAGCAGTTCGTAAGTTCTGTGTAATGTATCCCGTTTTATGGTGACAAAGGTGTCATCTACATAGCGTATCCGTAGTTTTGGATTGATGACTGGTAGTACCGCGCGCTCTAGTCTTTGCATTACCGCCTCATCGATAAATCCTGATATTTGAGGTCCCATTGGAGTCCCTTTCTCAGCTGTTGATTCATTTGCCCATCAAAGCTAAAGTATGTATCCATGCAAAAGTTCAACAGCTTGCAAATACTTTTGGATTTCATGTCGTGTTCCGATTATTCTGAAGCAGTTCTACTACCGTCTCCCTGGCGAGGTTGTGGTTGATTGAAGTGAATAGAGGTGTGACATCAAAATAAAGCATGATTTCGTGGTCTTCTAATAAAACTCAACCCAAAGAAAAAGCTCATGGAGAGTTCAAGCTGCACCACTGCAGAATTGAGCCACGTGACCAGGGGAAACTAACTTGTACAGTGAATGTCAAATTAAGTGAGGTGGCCGAAGTTCTTCTTCTCAGATATGTTTTCGCCCACTTCCAAGAAAAGGCGTTTTCTTGCACGGAGTTTCTTCCACAGGCAATCTGGCTTTTACTTGCTTGTTTTCCGCTACATTTGTTTGGAAGTATGCCCTCTTTTGGCAGGATAATGATTTTGCTGGTACGAAACAAACAGTTTTGTGAAGATACCATTGGTGTAGTCAGGCTGTTGTTCTTAGCACATGCATAAAAGATGAGCTGAACTGGGCTTGAACACAAACTGACCATCATTTGTCCTGTTTTGGCTTGGTTCGGGTGGGTGGATTTGGCTAAGGTCGGCTGGCAAAATGAGTTGAGCTTCACAGATATAAGCTAGCACCTGAAGATTACACCTTAAAAAACTGGATCAAAAAGAGTTCTGCCTTTGGAGCAAACGGTAGGGAAGAATCCTGGCGCGGATCGTGGTCAACTATTGCTGAAACTGAGGATCAGTGGCTGGACTACCTAAATAACTGAACCAGAGTGTCAGACATACACTCAGTAAACTGAGTTATATTAATTTTAAACGCGTATCCGGTTGTGTGTTTACACTATCACTGCTTCATTTCAGAAGTGGATAACTAACCGAAAACTGGTCGTTGACTGGTGGTTGTGCACAACCACTAACCCACCGCTACGCACAACTACGCACGGATGATGTCACCTCGATTGGTGATGAAACGTTTGCAACCAAATTGCCCAGCTCAGCGAACAAGCCAACGACCAGTTGCGTACAGTTTGGTATTCGAATAGAGCACAAGATTGATGGAAATTCGGGGACTACGCCTACCTGATGAGGCCCGAAAAATGTGAAATCGGTAGTGAACTGTCAAGAAATCTTACTCAACGTTATAAATAGTGTGTTATGTCAGCAAAGTATCTATACAATATTTATGAGTGAGTGTGAGTTTGTCCCTGATAATGGTTAACTCTGAACCCGCGTGTTGCAATCAGCTGTGTGGCCAATAAGCGCTCAAAACTTTCCAACGGAGGTGACGTAGCTTTTAAAAATATCTTTGATCCACTTTCGGGCTAAACTGTTCTTTTTCCATCTTTCCATCTGACAGTATCACAGGTCCACCTGAGAACCCAGGCATAATTCCTCGGCTGGTTGATGATCTGTTCCGGGAGGTTGGTGCCAGACAGGTAGTGTTGTCTCTTGTCTTACTCCTCTTTCACTATTATTCATAGTCTGCAGAAGTGGACTACTCAGTGGAACTCAGCTATTTGGAGATCTACAACGAACGAATCCGGGACCTGCTTTCCAACGAAAAAGGCGGACCGAACGGAGTATGTCTTTTTGTTGTGTTTGCTTCCTGATGCGTTAATGATTCTTCCTTTCATAGGTTATTTGTGCGTTCAACCCATCTGTTCTCTTTCGATTCTGTACGTTGACAATAGGGAAGCCTCACGAGTATGTGCTGTATTCCCTCCCACCTTGACGGGGATGATTCCTTGTAGGGAGAACGAATAATAGTAGCCTTCTCTGTGGCACATCTTACATTTGTTTAACAAAATTTTGGCTGTTCTGATTTTATCCTAATAGCTTTTGTCCAAGTGTGATAAAGACTTTCAATTTAGTGGGAGTGACTCTCCAGACATTGATTGACATTTCCTGTCAGGTGGTTCAGCATCAAAGTTCTGCTTCGATTAAAAAAGAATTGTGGTAGATTATTAAGTGAGGTACATCAAAGTCACATAGTAAATATCAAGAACTCGGTAAATACGGGTTATTGTACGTTGGTTTATCTTGTTTCCCACCTGTGTTACCAATCAGATTGAAAACTATGCGACAGGTTTCACAGTGTGATCATGTCTAACTGTCAATCAAGGTCACTTCCTTTTGCCATGTAACTTCAGAAGCTCCTTCCGTAGCATCCGCTTATCGAATCAGGGCACGTTTTCCAGCGTGATCTGACATTCCCACAGTGGGCTTCGACAAACCCACATTATGCCTCAGCAGACATCGGCTAATCAACCAGATTTGGACGTCAAACTAGGTCACACTAGCTGAACTCCCGAACAAGCTGCTCATTATGTTGAGAAGTATGGTGTTGTGAACAACGTGTACTTGCACTCTGCGGAACGGTGAAGGAATCAGCGGTCACACGGGTAGTTTCGGTTAAGCGGAGTGGAAGACTTTTCCGTGGAAGGTGCACAGTTGGCTGTGGGAAATATCTCTTAGCCTCGTATAAAGCCACCACAATAGCGCGAAGTAGTGCTTATAGATATGAGCAAACGGGTTCGTAAAACATTTGGTGAGAACAGTGGCACCGTTTGGTGCGAAAATGCGGACATTTTTGGATTGTACAAAAATACGGAAAACTGGGAAACAGTAACTTTCTGTGACACAAAGCAGATAAGAAAATCCAAGGTGAAGTTGTCTTTGGTACATCTTCACTTCTGTCGGCTGATTTATTGGCCTTTAGTTTGTACACTCCCCGAAACGATTTATGGTCACTCGGGTGCTCATTATGAGTGGAGTGGTTGCCGCAACTTCAGACGGATCAAGTGAGTGTGCTCTATCCCGATTGACCCGCCCTCAAGAGGGAATAATTAGCGAACTAATTTGATCCAATTTCTCGTTTGTATGAGTCAGTTCGTTATGTTATTTGTTCTGTATGTTTACCAACTCAGTCATACGCGGAAAGTGTTCCCCTCAGCCTACCGTGTACATTCTACTCACTCACCCCGCTCAGCTTCCTGCCACCCTGATGCCGTTGGTTTCTTTACTGTTCGACAATCTCCCCAAGATGCGTGGTTATTTATTCAAACTCACATATGAAGACCGTGTAACCTAGGCTGGCATCGGAACAGAGGTTTCCAAACTGCCAATCAGCCGATATCTCTCCGAAGTCCGAATCTCCCTAACTGTATGCCTTCCCATTTGTTCCCTCTTAATATGGTATCGTACGCCTACATACCTACTTTGTTGTTCACCTAAGGACTTCCTATCCTCCTGCTCTTGTATCCCGGATTTTCGATCGTTTTGGCCGACATTCAACCCCCCTAGATACAGCAAATGTTTTCGCCGTGGTTCCTCTTTGTTGATCGTTAACTACGAACGGACATGTCACTGTGACCCCACTGCGGAAGTTTATATTACAGGTGACATGGACATCCACACAAGGGATGTCCTGCACGGACTCTCCAGGTCGTACTGTCGAGTCTTTTATATCATCAATTCGCTCACCAAGTTTGTTTAATTTTCAGTCGGAGTTTCTGACTGCGGCGGCAATACTGCTCAAACCCTTTATCAATTTCTGACCTCCCATCATTCAGATTACTTTCGTCTGTCGTGTTGCTTTTTGTGTGTAAATTACTCTCACTCGGTTCGTTTCAACGTCGCACTCCGATATAGCGTGCATCATTCGTTTCCGAAATGATGCATGGGGAGCGCTGCTTTTTTAGATCTCTGAGTGTCCTCTGGAAATCCACGAATGTTCTCGCTGATTTCAGTAATCAGTTCATCCCCCATTTCTCAGACCTCGAAAGCGACCATTACTCGAGCGTTCTAACTGGACGCGTTTGTAGATGATGAAGGAGGTAGACGGATTGTACGGATTTAGCGGATGCTCCCCTGCCCCCTCGATACGCGCCGACTGCGTCGCTAGCCTGTGGTCAACTTAGTCTACGATAAATTCATTACGCGAGAGGCGGCTCAACAGTCGAAAGCGCCTGTCGGCATTCACTCTTTTGGGAGTTTGGTTGAAGATCTTCCCTATACCCTCGTGTGCTGGGTTTGGCTGAGAATCCCAAATCCATCCCGGTAGAAAACCAGAGACCCTGATCTCAATTTCTGTATAACACATTCCACCTGAATAATCCACCTGATCAGAACCGTCGGATGAAGTAACTGACAAGATGTCGACATTGCATCTATTCAAGCATGGCGGAGAATGTTGCTAGCTCATTAGCTCGAGATAGCCCGGTGATTAAGTCGCGAGCTTAATGACTGGGAGGTCCGTGATTCGTGACCTACGCAATTTGATACATACACTTTGGTTGGTCCATTGAATAAAGCCGGTAGAAGCTACGATGTCCGCATCGGAGGGGTCCAAGGTTATCGACCAATCATAACGCGAACGTACAACCAAATCGATAAGATTTCGCTGGAGCAGCCAATCAGAATTGAGGCCACGCCACCTTTAGGATTATGTGAGCTTGCCCACGTGTTGATTCGTGACCTACGCAATTTGATACACGTGCTTTGGTTGGTCCATTGAATAAAGCCGGTAGAAGCTACGATGTCCGCATCGGAGGGGTCCAAGGTTATCGACCAATCATAACGCGAACGTACAACCAAATCGATAAGATTTCGCTGGAGCAGCCAATCAGAATTGAGGCCACGCCACCTTTAGGATTATGTGAGCTTGCCCACGTGTATGATTTTCGGTCTGCAATCCCGAATCCAACGGCATCCGTTTCGGGTCGACTGTTCATCACAGGTCACTCCGTTGACCGCACACAGTTATCTATTATTCCTTTATGCAGTCGAGCTCTCTGAATGCTAGCGTTCAGTTAGACAGTGCTAAATGAACTGAGAAAACCGGTTTCATGTTCGCAAAAGTTATTGACCAATCTCAGACGGACCCCCATTCTCTTGATTGTCATCATGTTTTCTTTCCTTTTTGTTATCATGCTTTTCACCTTGTGTCTTAATTGGACAACCGATGAGAGTCAACAAAGTTATATCAACTGGTCGGTTATACCTTTTCACGGTTCTGGTTGAGTCCTCGTAGTTTGGATCAGTTTCCCAGTTCATTTCTTTCTTTGTCCCGATTTATCAAATTTCTCCGAGTCATTTACTGTAAAAATTCCTTTGCGTCTGCTGTCAGAATTGGACGCTTCCGAACCACCTGGTCAAAACCGTTCAGGTTACCGTATTCTTCTTAAAACCTTTCCATCATAAAAGTTTTCCTTCAAGTTCATTCGTGTTGCTTTGTTTCCTAAAACTACCGACCATCTTAATCACCTCCAATGTGCCTAGGATCTGATGACACGATTTTGCTATTTTGAAGAAAACACCCTTGTTAGTGTTCACCGATATGAGTTCGGACGTCAAGTTTATATGAATATGTTTGGCTCACGTGACACACGTTTGGTCGACCGATTTGCGCCTTGGTGAAACGAATGTAGGTCCTATTGTTATGTCGGAAGCGTTTGACTAGTTGTCCTAGATACACCGACGTGATTTCATCAGGTTTGTCGTGCTTTCCATGCATCCTAACTTGTTCACTTGAATTGGAAGGATTCCGCATGGTGCAAACATTAGTGAGTGGTGTTGTCTCTCAGACCATCACCGTAGGGGTTCCGTAACTCTTTGTGCTCCCTCTTTTGCGTGAGAAACGCATTGTCTACCACCTTTTTGATTTATTTTTTTCTCCGACAGCACTTCTGCACCCTTCTTTGCTTTATTGCTTCGCATCACTTTGAGCGTGCAGTGGCCGGCCACAAGCCATTGCAAGCCTGAATGCTGATCTCGTCGCCGTCTTCTACTGTTTTATGTCGAGTCTACCAACACTTAAGTCCTCTAATTTTTTTCTGTTTACCTGCTTCCGTTCGTCACTGCACACGTTTCACATTGTTTACCTTTCCCTGTCTATCATTTTTTACAATTGATCCTGTCCCTCATACATCAAATTTCTCGTAACCTAAGGATCTGCGTATGTCGGTTTCCTCTTCCGGGCATACAGATATTTCATCCCCACCCGAAGCTATGCTGAAAACTTTCATAATCCTGCCACCCTATTGTGACGCCGCTATATTTTCGGTGCAGCTCCTTGTCACCCATATCTCCTTGACTCCGGTCAGCGCGAAGTTGTATGCCTCATCGATATATCTTCTCTAACCTACGAACTTTCTCATCTTCGACACGCAGCTTACCTTGCCTTATCCTAAGCGTAAAATGTTCGCCGGAGCTCACTTCTCTTTCCCTTCGCCTGTGTCTTTCAACCGGGCAACATGTGTTTGCTCACCGCAGTGGTCCTTATGCCAACTAGGGTTGCTGAATTACAATCGGTTTCCTCAAGCTGTTGTGAATGGTACTTGATAACTACATTTGTCCCTGATTTCTAGTTACTTGTACGAGAACATCCTGTGACGGGACCGTACGTAGAGGGGCTCAGTCGTATCGGCGTTCGTTCGAGTACTGATGTCTTGGGTTGGCTTCGGACTGGTAGTCGTCAGCGCACTGTTGCATGCACAGAGTTCAACGAGGCCAGCAGTCGATCGCACACAATCTTTACCCTGTACTTAACAAGACGTACTGTGGTGAGTTTTTCAGTCACCGTTCTAACTTAATGGGTGATGTGCCATTGCAGTTTCCTATTCTTCACGCAGCCCTTTACACTTTTGTCTTCCAGGCTAACTATCCGTTTGGAGGCATGATTGAAAGTGTTTACACCAGTCGGATTAATATTGTTGATCTGGCTGGAAGCGAACGGCAGGAACCCGGTAGAAACATTGATGAGCGACTGGCTGTGAGTAGCATATTGTGAGATTTTTTTTGTTATCCGTTATATCAAATCAACCCATACCCACCACATTCTGCGGACTGTTGTATCTGGCCGATACGATCATTAATGACTTTTCTAGCTCCACAATGTGCTCGGAAGCAAACACTCTCGACCCTTGGCGGTCAAGCTGCAGAACAATGATGAAATGAAGGCGTCGATAACAACTGTGGCTGTTCGGTTTCTTCATCACATGTGTGACGGATGACTCTTGAGCTCAACGATGTGATCTGTGAAGTTAAGTTGTTTTTAGTCGCGTAGACCAGTTTCATCCTAAACGACCGGAAGATGATGCATTTGGGCGTCATACCCAGTTGCCCAGGTATCACCGAAAAAAAACTTGCTCAAATTTTTCAACCGCGTCTGGTTTCATGAGCTCTTTCCTGTCGACCGCGTAAATACAGTGTCGCATTTCATCTTCATTTGTCTAATTTGAGTTTTTCTGATAGCTTGGGGCGAGATGGCGCAAGTGGTCAGAGCATGAATTTACTGACCGGAAGGTCCGTGGTTCGAACCCGACCTCTGCCTCTCGACTTCCCCTGTCTAGACTTGGGCAACCTGGCAGTATCCCAGCCCTCGTGCTTCCTTCGGGTGGCATGGCAGCTAGGCACCGAAAGGGTGCTACAGCCGAGCGTTTTTTCTGATGGCTCCTGAAATGTCATCTCTGTTGGATACACTGCTAACGGTGACTGTTTTCTTCATCTCTGTCCAAGGTTTTCAGCAATCAGCCTGGCCCAGTCTCCCTAATTGAGAGTGGTTATACCATGAGAGCTTCTTATCCGACCATTTCCATAACGGAGACCAATGACAGGCGTACGGACCTCCCACTTTTTCTTGAATGCCATCTGAGAACCGAATGAATATCACAGCCGTAAATACGTAGGAAAACTTTCTGATGACAGTGTATGTCTCACTTTGTTGTTAGCTGACTAACACTGATTGGTTAGCCATGTGAAGACTCACTTTTCTTATTGGTATAAGTTCTGCTATGTTAAATGATTGGCTAGTTTTCCGTAGCACTTCTACACCCCATGATCTGAGTGTGAACTCCGTCATGTTGAAGCTCAATGGAACGCTAGATGGCAGCTGAGACTGACGTGACATTCTTGGTAGTGTCAGTCGATACAACGACATATTTAGGGGTCAAAGTGCGTTGTTGTTGGTCGAACATAAGGTTGACGGAAACTCGAGGACTGCGCCTACCTGATGAGCCCCAAGAAGGGCGAAGAAAAGGAAAGAAAACGTCCAGCTGTAGCACCCTTTCGGTGCCTAGCTGCCATGCCACCCGAAGGAAGCACGAGGGCTGGGATACTGCCAGGTTGCCCAAGCCTAGACAGGGCAAGTCGAATGGCGTAGGTCGGATTTGAACCACGGATCTTCCAGTTAGTAAATTCTCGCTCTAACCACTTGGGCGAAACCGGTCGTGGGCTGTCGAAGAGCTTTCAGCAACCTTGTGAGTAGCTTGTTTTATGTCTAAATAGAGTTTATTCCATGAAAACTTCGTGGTTATACTTTTTATCTGCTTTCTGTTAACTAATTTCGACGCTTGAACTTTTCGTGGCTCTCCGAGTCAACGTCCACAATGGGTGCTTGAAGTTACTTGTCTTTATTCGTTCTTTCACTGTTTCTCGCGTTTAGACAATCTGCTGCACGTCGATTACTGGGTGCAGTACCACTGTCATACCTCACTATCTTTAATTTGATTTCCCATCATAGTCCCCCGTCTGTCACAAGTTCCATTCGCTTGCTTTTAATTCCCAGGAAAGCTGTCAAATTAACAAGTCACTGTTCACCTTGGGCAAAGTAATTTCTCAGTTATCTCAGAACGACAACCATGCCGTTCGTTCCGACTTCTGCCCTGCTTCCGAGCCACGACCGAGGAGAAATGGACGTCCCATTGCTGTTGAATTTGCTACGCCGTCACGAGCGGCAACTCCTAGGCGCCAAGGTTACGTGTCATATCGCGATTCGGTTTTGACGTGGTACGTGGCGTGCTTTCCAGTCGATTCCCACGCAATTTTTAACTCGACTCACTTTCTCTAAAAATGAATATTTCTATTATTCTTCCATGTTGTGACGTTCCCATGCAAGACCTCCGTGACTTTTGCCCGTCTAATTTTCGGCTTGCCCAGACTCCGTTATATTCTGTTCACCGTCGCCAACTGAGACCATCTATATAACGCAATGTGGAACGGGGTCACCTTTAAGGTCCTATCACCATATTCTTCTCACAAGTTTTTTGCATCATTCGTCAAACTATTTCATAGGCTTCTAGAAAAACCGGTGGACAGAACTCATGCTTTGTTTTGAGTCCCCGTTCCGGCCTAAAGCAGCTGGTCCCATGGGGTAACAGGTGTAACTCGGTACGACCTTTCGACAGCTGGGCTACACGGGGTAACGTTGGTCAAAAAGTGAGTAGCGATGTCAAAGACAGATCCGAAAATTTGAGATGTTAAACTCCCTCGTTAAATTTTTATTAGGTCGTTCCTGTTCGGTTATTACATTGTTGTTCGTACGTGATTCGATCCTCCTAGAAAAAAATGGGCGTTGCTCGTAAAATCGTACAAACACATGACTTTACACAACTCAGGGAATAAGCAGTACCAGTTGAGCTAGCTGGAACGCAGATTTGAACATTTCAGTGTTTGTTGCTGCTCCTGTACACAAAATCACGTATATGCAGTAAGCAGTGTTCGACTGACTACCGACCTCTGATTTTGTAACCGTCCATAAGGAGTAATAGTACCGACATCATCAAGCACTATGACACACAGGCCTTCATAGCGTTGCGTCTGGAGTTTTGAGCATCGGTTTCCGGGATGTTTCGCTTCATTAGACTGGGATCCAGCATAAAGAATCAGGTAGGCAGGTAGACAGTTACCTGAGCTGAGATAAGTTAAACTCCATCAAGACACCCAGGCTTTTATTCACCTTTGATATCAGGAGTACGCTTCACATGTCCTTGCTGAATATACGTATGTTCGTGGCTCAGACCAAGAATATTTCCACGACATCGCCGTCCTGGACGAAAGTGTCAGGAAGCTTTGTGAGCCGATGAGCCACACCAATCGACACATCACTAATCTCGAACTTGTACAAACACTTCGACTGTGACTGTTGTTCCGTTGGCTGTTGGCAGCCATATTGCCATGTTCAGTGAACAGAACAACAGCGACCCCTACAACCTGAGCTAGCAACATTCATCCGATTGGCATAAGCAGCATTTGCGACGCGTTAACCAATACCTGGCAATGCCTTGCTGCATTAACGTATAGGCATGTAGTGACGACGGGTTGATCTCCCTAGGGAGGCCTTTGGCCACGGGAAAGTTCATTTGATCTTTCAGTTGCGGACGCTTTACCAATAACCTGACAACTAATCTGCTGTATTACATTTGTGCGCAGGTTGCTCAAAGACAGTCTGGGTGGAAACTCGATGACCGCTATGCTGGCAACCATCAGCCCTTCATCCTTGCATTTCGATCAGACCTTGGCCACTTTGAAGTGAGTTTTTTTGTCTGACAAACCCTTTGCTGTCAGTTTCACGACTGTCTTCTTTGGAGATGCTGTTCAGCCTTAATAAAATTGGATTTTCGATCAGGAGTTTCACAACGTGCTTCATTCTGTTTTCATCCCAGCTATGTTAAAAAAGCCCAGTCCATCGTGAATTCTGCAATGATCAATGAGGATCCCCGAGGTCGGGTCATTCGTCGTAAGTTGTACCGATTTGCCTTTGTTGTGTTTGTCTTCCGGAGCATATTGACGAATAGCAAATCCTCTTGGATTGTAAAAACATCTTTCTCAACCGGTTTTGTTTCGTTATCTGGTCAACCTCGGGTTTTTGTGCCCGTAACAATGTATTGCCTCATATGTAGGTGCCCCTAATCTCACTGCTGCAACCGTCACTGAGTTGGTTGCGGACTTCCACATAGTTCCGGTGAGAGTAGCAATCAGTGCTCCATATATCAACCACTAATCCATGCCTAGCTGACGTCACTCATGCAGATAGTTCTCATATATCAACAAGATTTCTTGGTCTGATCATTGGTGGATGGAAAATGATGGAATTCCAGTCAAACGCGATGAGAGATAAGTGTGCTTGATCATCACTTTGTCACTGCGTGTTGTTTATTCTGGAAGTATCACATCTGAACTCATGGTATCCCAGGGTACAATTTTTCGACTCATGGTTACAATATTCTGATCGAGGAGATCACTCAAGTCTGCATTTTGAATTTATCCTGTCCAATAATACACTCTCGTGCTTCGTACCGAACTATGTGGTAGTTGTGCTTTGAGTAAGCGCCGAATATGAGTGACCCAGGTTTTTTTACTGGAGCAGACGCTTGTGTGGAATCGGAGAGGCCCACTGCATGATCCTTATGTTCCGAAACGGCAGGAATGACTAACAATCCAAGCCGCAAGAGATAAACTCCCGCCAGAATGAAACTTGATGTGGGCTAACTGAATATGCTGATTGTTCAGTGCTGAATAAGGCAATACCTCGAATGTCGTTAAATGCATCGAATTCTATCATTCTTACTTACCAGTATCCCGTCCTCACATTTCAGAACTTATGACTGAGGTGGCCCGTCTGCGTGCTGCGGCCACAACCAAAGCTGAACCAGGCAGTCCTCAGGCATTTGAATTGGCACGCTTGCGCGAGTTGTTAGTTTTACGGGAGAGGGAGGTGATTGAATTGTCAAGGTCAGTTGGAGTTATACGTCCCTCACTCATTCAGATATTTTTTTACAAGCACTGTGTTCCATCGCCATGTTTATAGCATGATGTTTCTTCATACCGTGCTCGCGTACTTTTTGTGATATAGCTTCATTCTTTCATTTATAAGCTGTCTGCATGGTAGTCCCGTGTGTGGGCTCACGAAAAATTAATCTGCAAAGGAAGGACTGTGTCGACAATTTCACATCAATAAGAGAGACTCCTTGTACCAGTTTTAGTGTGGTAGGCGATACATAGCTGTGACTATGCGGCCAGAATAACACCGATGTCGCAGAACCCTTGCTTGGCATGTAGTATATCGCTTTGGTTCTCCTAACTCCGCAAAACCGTACAGATATCTGCGAAGCACACTACTCACAAAATCGCTGAAGACACTGATAGCCCGCGACTAAGTTCGTCCTGCTTGTGACTTATCAGGTAGGCGCAGTCGCTGAGTTTCTGTCAACGTTGTACGCAATTCGCGAACTACACTCGTTTGCAAGCTAATTTGGTTTTAACGGGTGACTTAAATTAATCTCGCGATACTGTGAAATATGAGGCACAGTTTCTGTAGCACATCCAGTTGAAGAACATCATAGACCAGAGGTTTAGCTGAAATTCACTTGAGTCTCCAGATAAAACAAACTGTTTTACAAATGAGTGTATATCGTGAACTGTACAGACCTCCATCCACTAGAGGCAAACTTAGCAGCGAGGCTGTCCTTGATTGACTAAGTGTTCCTTCGTGGTTAAGGAAACCGAATATGTCACACTGTCAGTGAAGTTTCATATCGTCCTCGCTGAATATCTTATTTTGAAGCACCGCCTGGTTACACACCTTATTTGGTGGCATGTAATCTCTTCCGAAATAAAATAATAATCATTCAGCTGTAACACCCTCTGGGTGTCTAGCTGCTATGCCACCCGAAGGAAGCACGAGGGCTGAGATACTGTCAGGTTGTCCAAGCCTCAACTTCTACTTTGGATATGTTATCTCTATCCACAGTTTCAGGTTTCCAGTGTAGCTCTACCATGTTTATATATTAGTTGTTTTTCATCCCAATTTTCAGAGCCCTAAAGGAGCAAACATATCAGCAATTCCCCAAAGAAACAAGGTCCACGAGCCTTGGGAGATCAGTTGAGCGGAAGCCGAACGTTCCACCACATTCTGATGTGCCTCACAAATTTATCGACCGTTCCACTAGCCCAATCAGGAACACGTTAATGGACCTCTCTCCTTCTACCGCGTATGTTACCGTGGCCTTTTTCTTGTTTGCCGACTTAGAATGTTCCAACTAATAGCCTGGTGTCTATCGGCTTTGGGCAACGCCAAATTTGTTTTACCCTTAATATATTGTGCGAATGCACAAGAGGGATGCACTTATATATCGTTGTCTAGCCCATAGCTGACTTCTTAGTTGGATTTGCCGGTCACTCACGGCATTTTCGTACAGAGAGCAGTAAATGGACCGAATATGGTAATGTATACTAGACCTTTGGACCGATACGGACTCGAGGCCATGGCCGCCAGGTACCGAAAGGGTGTCACAGCTGAACGGTTATTATATTACTGATCAGGTATGATTCTTGTATGTGTTGTGTTCGCCTTCTGTAATCAACGGTGTGCACCATTTGTGACCCAGACTCACCAAAGCACTTTTCAAATAGTAACGTGGAGAACGTACTCAACGGTACACCACGGAAGCGGTTGAAATACAAGTGTCACAAAACTTTTGGACACTTTCTGATGAATTTTAATGTCTTTACCTCTTTTTGATGTAGTTCCACACCGCTCAGGCGGCCCCATTCCTTGTGTGAAGACGCGGAACCAATCTGCACACTGAGTGGCTCCGTCCAAGTACAACCCAATGTACGGGCTACTCATACTCAAACTACGGATGTGTGGATCTGCAGCGCTGATGACTACCAAGATTTGGTCACCAAAACCGCCCAGCTGCGGTCGAGACTGGATGATGTGGTGGAAGATAAAGTGAGTCCATTTCAGCCTTATCTTCTTAAGCATGTTTTCGAATTTACTTCTTGGTATCATTCCGCTAGATGCTAACGGCAAACAGCCTACGGGCAGTGTTCGCTCAATCTTTCTTAACAGTATAAGGTATTGCATCAGATGCGTCACTTTGTTCTTTGTTCCTTGTGTTTAGAGGAAGTTGAAACGGTGTCTGGATGAAGCGCAGTTTCGGAACCAGGTGAGGAAAAAATTCCGTATTTTTTATTTATGCAAAAATCAAACGGCACTTTTCGCCACAAAATAGACACAAGCCGTTCGCCGTCGATGTTCACGTGAAGGTGATTTGTATAGGATATTTGTAGCCAGAACTGATTAACTGATTTAACGTGTTACTTCAAGAACTGTCCTTTCGAAGCTGTCACATCGGGCAGGCTTTAGTTTTAAACCACTGAGTTTGGAGCACAGAAATCCATCATGTGCGTCATTCGATCAAACCAGTCCAGGTTCTTATACGTTTTTGCGTCCATATCACAACAAGATATTTAACAGAAACGTCATAAAGCACATTGTCTCCATCTGCATTGTCGAGTGTGCAAACGATATTCATTGATTATCCAAGCAATGACGGAAAGTGAGGTTGGATTTCTTGGTACACTGTTGCCTCAATTAGACGAACCTCATTTGATCCAAACGGACATCATCTTCCATAATCTGGAACGATCGGTCAGAAAAAATCGTTCAACTGTAGCACCATTTTGGTGCGTGTCATGCCACCAGAAGGAAACACGAGAGATGGGATCCTGCTAGGTTGCCCAAGTCTAGACAGAATTCGAGATGCAGAGTTCGGGTTCGAACCACGAACCTTCCGATCAGTAAATTCGCCATCTAACCACTGAGCCATCTTGCCCCCAACGATCGTTTGAGGCGTAGGATGGACATAGTGCGGTAGGTTTCAAGCTCAGCGAATCAAAAGTACAAGTTTTCTGGCGTGACAAGATTACACAACCTTCATTGATGCGGTTAAATAAGGCATGTGAACAGACTTATGTTCACGTTCACCTAGGAAACCATTACACCAGTGAATGGTTTACTTGCATTTATATCTCTGTAAGTGTATTCACTATTTCTTGGAACATTCCGATATCTTTATCAACTTTCCAACCACTAGCCACTATTGTAGCTGTCTGTCTTTTGGGGATTGTGAATACAGCTTACTAAAGCCAAGTCATATTAATTTACCTAGAAGCCTTCTGCGTCTATTATTGGGTAGTCCGAACCTCAGAGTTTCTAAGCAGACATCTGTCCAGCACACTGTTGTGCTAAAGTTGAACCGTAGATGGGAAGAGCAAGTCGGTGACCTTTTTCTCCTAGTGCCACTCATCCGCAAGTGGGACTACGGTCTCCAGTGGTACGTTCGAAGACAAGTGGACACGGGTTTGAGACTTAGCTCAGAATTCAGATACTCCCATGTGTTCTGCCAAAATTACCTCTTTGTAACATAATGGCAGTGTTCAACCGTAACCGGTGAGTTTGCAAGTACGAAGTTTTTTTATAAAAATGCATGATCCCCAAGAGGAAACGAAATAGCTGAACAGCGTGCTTCGACTTTTCGGTCCGGGATTGACAAAAACAGAGATTGGAATTTCATTACCTCCGACCGCTTATGGAACCCAAGTAGTTCCTTCAGAGAGCAAAACGCTTCAATCTGCACACTTGAAAATCGTACGCATCGCTCGTCTCGAATCTGAAAGTCAAGTACGCTATGCAGGAAGCCGTATAAATGGGCTCAGCGTCGCTGACGGTTCCCAACAACGACGAATCAGCCCAGGGCTACGTTGAATTCCGGCAGTCTAAGGAAAAGCTTGTCGGCTATATTTAGCCGCTTTGGTTCATGAGACTAGTTGACACACCAAGTCACACACCAGTCTGTGCACGCGCCCTTTGGGAATAAAATCTAATGACAGTTCATTTCAGCACTCATTTGCAGACCGCCATTGTGCTTACATGAATTTTAGTTGAATAATTCGTTTATACTTCTCAGCTGAACGCACGCAGCAAAAGCTGCCTCGATGTGGCTGACATTTCCCTGCTCCTGCCATCTGTTTTCAAATAAACACACTACGACACGGTATTTCTCTCTTATGGCTGCTCCTTCCGGGGATACCTACCCGAATCCCTGTGTTAAATAGGTACTGACAAAACAACCATGACTACAGTTTTCGCCGTCTTGACAATAGTTGACTAAGAGTTTCCCGAGACAGAAAGTAACGGACGATCGAATTTCACTTTCTCCTTCAGATGTATGAGAAAATAATCTCTAAAATCGTGCATTCGCTTACTGATCGGACGATTCGTATGGAAGAACTAAGCAAACCTGTGGTGCTTAGTCCTGGATCCAACAGTGTGGAGGCTGATGAAGCGGAAATCAAGAAAGATTGAATGATTCATTCTTTAAGGGCCATGTTGTGTAAGTTAGCATGCCTGAAACTGTCTGACTATTTGACCTGCCTTATCCTAGACCTTAAGTTTTTCCGTCTCTTTTTTATTAGATTATTCCGTCGCGGATGGAAACTGAACTCACTGGAATAGTTCGCCAGCTTGGACAGTCTTCCACATCGTGGATTTTATTCATGTGTGATATTCACCTACAGATTGTCGTTCAGCTGTACATATGTGTATTTTTGTAAGCCAAACATGGCTGCTTTTGACTGCTGTTTTCATTAAAGCCTTTTATAATTTCGTTGTCACTGCAAGTTTCTCCGCCTTGTTTTGATTCGGTTTTGCCATTTCTTATGACATCAATGTAGTCAGACCCAGGAGCAGTCTTGGCGGTATTTAAAATGTAGCAGGCGCCTAGAGAGGTACACGCGTGGAATTCCCCACAGAATCTTCGTAGTATCCAAAGCTGGTACGAGGAGTCAGAGAATCTATAGTGTCTGAATGTTGATGCTGCCGGTGCCTCATACTGTACGGTGACGTACGTGTTTAAAACTGGTAGGTTAGCTTCCGTGGTGAGATTTTTTATGCGAATTCTCAAAAGGGCCGCAACAGGGGTGGTCTTGCTTACTCAGATTCGATATGCAAGAATCCGATTGGTCCTAAGTCTTCGTTACTGTCCACAGAATACCCCGAGGGCTATCTCTAGTCCCTTCATAGTTGACTCATCAAACACCCCCTACCAAACTGGTCTTTGAGGTATGTCACCGTTTATCCAGGTTTGACACATATGATGGGTACATCCACTGCTTAAAGACGACTGTGTCCGGTTGGAAGCTAGTAAGAAATTGGCTGCTTGAATTCTAGGGATTTCTCCACAAAGAAGCTTAGGATGACGGTTGCTTGCAGCGGAAGCCTCTGTGCACTGGCTGAGACGAGTTCCTGGAATACACGCGAAACCAGAGGTGTCGTGGTTAGAGCACGAATTTACTGACCGGAAGATTCATTGTTCGAACCCGACCTCTGCCTCTCGACTTCCTCTGTCTAGACTTGGGCAACCTGGCAGTGTCCCAGCCCTGGTGGCATGGCAGTTAGGCACCGACAGGGTGCTATAGCTGAACCATTTTTTGTTCATAATCGATACATGTAGAGCATTCCACTTGTGTTGTTGTTGATAAAGTTTGTTATCCTCGCTAGTAACGAGTGACCTCTGTCCGAAGTTCCAGCAGAAAAGCTGTGCTGTCCACACGGTGCGAAACCCAGGTAAATTACATCGACTCCTGTGTCGGCATCCACCGTTTTGGTCCTGGGTACTACCAGGTTGGGTTTTTGATGAATAATGTCTACGGAACTTGTGTCCCACAGCTAGAATTGCGAGTTGTTCGAAGTGCTATGGCCTTGATGCTTTTGGGCATCACCGATAAGGGGATTGGTGTTTGGCTAAATCTGCTCCGTTTCCACGCTTAGGTGGTGACGTTTCTTTTCTTGAGGTAACGCAATTTTCACCCGGTATGTGCTAAAAACTTTCAGCAATCACTATACCGAGGCTTCACATGGAGAAAGGGCAATCCATTACGCGCTTTGTTCCAAATGAGACCCATCAGGTGTATATTGCACATTTCGGTCATCTAATTTCCGCATTCACAGTTCACACACCTAACTCTGGCACCAAGTGATCGCCGATCTCTCTGGTGCGCATGGCTCAACTATTGATAATTCCTAACTTCGTGAGACCCTAACGAAGAATGAAAATTGTAACGGTATACAGTTCACAAACTCTGGCACCAAGTGATCGCCGATCTCTCTGGTGCGCATGGCTCAACTATTGATAATTCCTAACTTCGTGAGACCCTACCCTAACATGAAAATTGTAACGGTACGGACCTAGTGTTTATATATATATATATATATATATATATATATATATATAT